GAGAGAGACACATTGATTTGTTGCCTCCCACCATGGCTGGAGATTGAGTCTGCAACCGAGGCACATGCCCTTGACTGGAATCAAACCCAGGGCCCTTCAGTCTGCAGTCTGATGCTCTATCCACTGAGCCAAACTGGTTAGGGCGGATAGGTTCAATTTTAAGAAAATTAAAGTCTTGAGTTTATCAGAAACTCAGAAATGGAGCTTGCAGAAAAACATTGATATAGATGATCCTTGTTACTTTCCCATTTAAGTTTTTTCATAACTGGCTTCTCCAGGATGAACACCTGAGATCAATCTGTAGATTCAAAGAGAACACACAGTAGTTCATTTTATTCAGCACTTCATTTCAGTTTTTAAAAAATATTAATTTATTAGCATCAGTAGAGGGCTAAATTGATCCTATGTGCCAGATTCACTCAACTTAGTCTCATTATCCTCAACTATAGAATGTTCCTTTAATTGCTCAAAGCTCCTCAGTTATGTTTCATCCTTAGTTTTGCCTTAAATTTGGCTTTCAACTGTTATGTTCTAGGAAGAATATGTTTTCTGGAGGATCACCATGCATCAGTTAGCCTTGATTGCCTCATGGCTTAGTTACACACAAGATAACATTTTGACTACCTTTTCGTTCATGTTATATGTACTTTCTCCTGCTAGAAGGAAAAGAACAGGGCCTCCTGCTAGCTTGGAGACCCTTGGCTTCACCTATGAAAATTGTCTGATTCTTCAGTCTCCTCACTATCTTACTATCTTGTTGTGTAAAATCCACTAAAAATTTATAGAGGTATAAATAAAGTACAATAAACCACATATACTTAAAATGTATGGTATGACAAACTTTGGCATGTATACACATGTTAAACTATTGCTACAATCAAGATAACAGTTATTGATCATCCAAAAAGTTTCCTTTTACCCCTTGTTCTCCATTTTCCCCTCACTGTCTTCCTCAGGCAACCACTGATCTTTCTGTCACTATAAATTTGTTTGCATTTTCAAGAATTTTATTTTAAGTAGAAGCATACAGTATATAGACATTCTATCTGTCTTCTTTCATTAAGCATAATTATTTTAAGGGCCATGTGTCCTATTATATATCATTAGATTATTCATATTTAGGACTGAATAGTATTCCATTTTGTGTGTATCCCACAGATACACCCTTTCAGCTATTCATAGACACTTGGGTTGTTTCTGTTTTTTGACTGTTATGAATAAAGCTTATGAGCTACCTTGTACAGATTTCTGTGTAGATGTTTTCTTTCCTTTGAGATAAATGTGCAGGAGTGTATTGCTCTCCTGTTAAGTACAGCTTCACCTTTTTGGGAACCTGCTGACTGTTTTCCAAAGTGGTTGTACCTTTTTACTTTCTTATCAGCAGAGTATATAGTTAGTTGCTCTACATCCCTGTCAACACTTGGTGTGGTCAGAATTTTTTAAGCCATTCTGGTAGGTCTGTAGGTAGTATCTTATTGTGGATTTAGTTTGTATTTTGCTGATAACAAGTGATATTGAGCATCTTTTATTTTGCTTATTGGCTATTCCTCTGTCTTTTCATGTAAAATGTCTCTTCAAATCTTTTGCCCATTTTAAAAATTGGATTTCATCTCTATTAATTTGCTCAGATTTTGTCTCTTACAAGGTTGGAAAGTAGGTAGGTTTTCCTTAAAATAAAAGTTAAATACATGTCTATAGGGTCCCAAATACATCATTCACTTGGCAGCATCTGTATCTGTTTACTTCTGAAAGTATAGTTTCTTATGGTACTAGTCCAGGGGTGGGCAGACTTTTTGACTCGAGGGCCACAATGGGATCTTAAACTGGACCGGAGGGCCGGAACAAAAGCATGGATGGACTGTTTGTGTGAACTAATATAAATTCAAAGTAAACATCATTACATAAAAGGGTATGGTCTTTTTTTTTCAATAGTTTTATTCATTTCAAATGGGCCGGATCCAGCCCGCGGGCCGTAGTTTGCCCACGGCTGTAACTAGTCTACTGATTTAAATCATAGATACCCTAAGATTGTACTTACATTTCTCTTGTGGCTAGCTTTTTGATAAGAATAGATCTATAATAAATCCAATTGAACTTTTATCTTCTCTAGGGAATATATAGTATTTTAGGTAACAAGGTTATATGTATAAAGCTAAAAACAACCACTTAAGGTGCATTGTAAGTGCTTTCTAGAAAAATGCATCCTATAGGAATTTTGAACACCACCAAGACTTTTGTGTATTTAAGGAAATAATTTACAATGGTAACATTGATTTCAAGAAAGGGAAGTAAGGCAGTTCAATGAACATTATTTACTGTAAATAACTGAAACCTTTTATTTCTTTCCTTCTTTGTTTTCTAAGTATATATTGACAAGGAAGTGTACTTTTATCTGACTATTTAATTAGGTAATATGTGGTTTAGTCTTTGCATTCAAATCAAAATTTAGTTCCAATAAATATCATGCAATTTTTGATCATGTTACACTACATTTTCTTAGAAGGGAACAAATCAAATTATTTGAATGGGAATAAAATCTTTTAAACAAAGAGGGTTGCATCTGTTAACTTTTTAAAAGCTGTATCTAGTATTTTAATATATGGAATGACAAATTGGCTGTGTATTTTTATTTGCTCATCCTTTTTCAGTGAATGTCTTTACTATGGCTCAGATGCTTATATTAAAATCTTTGCAAAGTCACATCTCAAATGCCATTGTACGAGTGAAAATAAATGCAAGTCTGTGCTTTGGAAAGCGAATTTCCTAATTAGTGCCCTGAATCCATGGGAAATAAATGGGAAGCCATCACAGCAGCTCAGTTCAGCTTGAATGCCTTATTTCTTATGTCTCCATATAGAATCAGAGCTGGTTGCTGCAACATCTTTGGTGATGCCACATAGGTTGTCCTTTCTCTTTTTCTTCCCTTTTACTGGCACCCACTGACTTCAGAGAAGTTTGTAGGGAGATAGTTTTCAGAGTGTGGTCCCTGGACCAGTAGCATAAGCCTTGCCTAGGAACTTGTTAGAAATGTACAATCTTCAGACCTGTTGAATCAGAAATTGAAAAGGGAGGTGTGCATAGCAATCTGTGTTTAACAAGCCTTCCAGGTGATTCTGAAGTATGCTGAAGTTTGGGAACCTCTGATCTAGGGGAATGAAAGGAGTTGTGAATGCAGGCTTATGTAAAACTCCTTTCCTATAGCTTCAAGCTTACAAGTTCATTATCAGTTTGCTGTAGCAATAACTGCAGAGTAGGACTGCATAATGAAACATTGTGGAATTCAGAGGCATGAATATTAACTGATCACAATATTATTGATCACTAAGATTTGTATTGGGCAAAATGGAATTTTCCCTTTAGCTTTATATCGAGGAGAAACACACTTTCCAGTTTGGCTCAGTGGATAAAGTGTTGGCCTGTGGATTGAAGGGTCCCGGTTTTTATTCTGGTTAGGTCACATGCCCAGATTGTGGGCTCGATCCCTAGTGTGGATTTTATTTGTTAAACCCTTGTTTGGCAATTATATGTCACAAAAATAGCTATTTAAAAGTATGTTCAGATTCTGTACTCTTCATTTTAGAATATGGTCTGTCTAAATTTTAGCACTTTCTGTATTCAGAGACTTAAATTCATTTTAGGGTTTGCATCTTATTGATATGTGCCAAGTATTAGATGTACTCAGTTAAGCTTCTTCTTGGCCAAATGACATACCCTGTTTCTGATGTCAGTCTGAGAAAATCCTATACAGTGTACAACATCCACCGGATTACCTTATCTAACTGTTACATGGACATCTCAGAGGATATGTCTTGGCATGTGGTCATTTTTCATTAACTTAATAGGGACTGTTAAAGCATCTTTTCCCATTTTGACACCTTGCCATAACTGAATGCAAAATTGACTGTAAGACTGAGTGTCCGATATTCATACAATAAGTTGATGGAGTTTCATTGGTGTCTAGCAGAAACCATGCCCAGATGGGTGTCTAGCAAAAAGGACTCTGTCACTATCTCACATGGGCTGTGGACGTGGGCTATATCTACACTCTGGACTTTATTTTCCTCAACCATAGGATGCAGTGATTAGTGGCAGCATTTCTAAGATCCTAAACATTTTATGATTTTAAGATTTGGTGGAAGAGGGGATAAAATCCAAACTATGAAGCACTGTTGAGGTACAGTATACGATTATGTTTTTGTTGAAATAACGAATGAAACAGAATAATTAGCATGAAGTAGGCTTCAAAGTCCTTGGAGATAATGGGAAATAATGATATTAAGTACTTAAAATTTTAAAGATTAGACTAATATGTTTTAGGAAGAATACTTCAGGAAAGTATATTTAAACTTAGTATTTTTTTCCTCAGAGTTTTCATATTGAATTATTTATTTTTAACTCTAAGGTATATGACATGCTTAGAAAATCTGGTAATTTTAATAGTTTTAGCCTAAGTGTACTCTATAGATCATATATATTCTTCTTGTAAGGGAAATATCTTTTAAAGGATAGCTTTCTATACTTTATACTCCTCTGCACTCACTTATTTCATTACATTTTGTGCAACCTAAAATTGTAGCTATAAAGCTATTTTGGGCATGCTTTTTCCAGAACCTTGTACAAATCAACAGGAGCATAATTCTAAGCTACAGAAGTGCAAAATAAGCACAGAATGTAGCTACCATAAATAAAATGGCCAGAATTCTAATTTTTCAAAAACACACAATTACTAGCAATAGGAGAGGGGGACATGAGGACAAAAAGAATTTTATCAGGTATTGTTTCATAATGCTAAACTTTTTTCTCTGAACTTTGTTTCTCTATAGAGATGGAATTCTGTGAAACTCCTCGCACTCTCTGCTCTGGCTACCAGACCGACATGCACAGTGTCTCTCAGCATGGCTACCAGCTTGAGATGGGATCTGATGTGGACACAGAGACAGAAGGCGCTGCCTCACCTGACCATGCACTGAGGATGTGGATAAGGGGGATGAAATCAGAGCACAGTTCCTGTTTGTCCAGCCGGGCCAACTCTGCATTGTCCTTGACTGACACTGACCATGAAAGGAAGTCTGATGGGGACAATGGTAATAGAACTTTCTTTACTGTTTAAGTAAAAACCGAGAGAATGCAGTTTTTAGCTTCAAAGTTGTTTTCCTTCTCTTTGTCTGCCTGTTTTTTATTTAATATGCAGAATGGAAATGCAAGTTCGCAGGGTCACATGGAAAAGGCACATACCTAAGGATCTGGCACACAGGCACATTTATTTACAATGATAGACAAAATACTTTTTCTTTCTGGTGATCCCCCAAGGGAAATAATCTCATGTAGTCAGTGATATGTCTTATTTATTACTCACCTTTTATTTTCATATTTATTTGCCAGTGCAATACTAATGATATTTATTGTAGAAAGTATGCATTCCCTGTATGTTGGCTTTATATCAATATGTGAAAAATGAAATGAACAGTTGTATAGCAACCATATTCTTGATGTGCTTCCTATTTGATTGAGATTAACATGCTGAGTGTACAGATTCAAATTAATCAAGTTAGACTGAAATGATTTTTTAAAAAAGAAGGCAAATTAGCATCACCTATTTGCTAGAAAATGAGTAATAATAGTAGTGTCATTAAATTGTAATTATATGTTATTTTCTTACAACTTTTAGAAGTGGAAAAGTTTTGTTTCTTTGATTTGTTGGGAAGAGGTTGATGTATTTTATTTGTCTTTACCAAAGAACAAAATCCTTTCATAAAAAACACATTAATGTTTATTAAACACATTAATCTATTGTCTTCCTCATTTTGTTTGTCTAAATTTGATAGGTCCCCATCACCATGACCACAAGGCTTGGTGTGATAGCAGTGGCTAATTAGTGTTTTCCCAGGTGGGAGATAGGTAGCCAACATCCCTGTATGTACAGATTTTTCTATTCTATCCTTCTTATTGTCTTCTTATAGCCCATATGGGTCACTGGCCACAGGGTATAATTTGGAATGACCATTAGCCCACTAGTTAGAGTATCATTTCCTAAATGATAGGCCATAACACTTTGTAATATCACCAAGTATCCTTGGGGTCTTGACTTCTTAGTTTATTTTCTTATTTTTGTTAATGCTCACCTGAAAATATTTTTTCAATTGATGCTTAGAGAGGGTGGCAGGAAGGCAGAGAGACAGAGAGAAACATCAATGTGAGAGAGACACATCAACTGATTGCCTCCCACATGTGCCCTGACTGGGCCTCAGGATCAAGCCTGCAACCAAGGTACATACCTTTGACTGGGATTCAACCCGGGATCCTCCAGTCCCAGGGCCAATGCTTTAGCCACTGAGCCCACCAGTTGGGCTTTTTAGTTTATTTTCATGACTCTATATAGGTATTGTTGACTTGTGTGGAGAATAGTATGGAGTTGCCTCAAAAAACTAAAAATGGAACTCCCATTTGACCCAGTGATCCCACTTCTAGGACTATGTCCCAAGAAACTAGAAACACCAATCAGAAAGGATTATGCACCCCCTATGTTCATAGCAGCACAATTCACCATAGCTAAGATTTGGAAACAGCTTAAGTGCCCATCAGCAGATGAGTGGATTAGAAAATTGGTACATCTACACAATGGAAAACTACGCTGCTATAAAAAAGGTGAGAGATCAACCAAAGGACTTGTATGCATGCATATAAGCCTTACCAATGGACACAGACAACAGTGGGGTGAAGACATGAGTGGGGGGGGAGTAATGCGGATATAAGGGCACATATGTAATACCTTAATCAATAAAGAAATTTTTTAAAAAGAAAATGCTAAAAGCAAAAGAGTATAGGAAGTGAAGTATGGAAATGAGAAGGGAACATATTTGATGTATGTATGCATATCCATGTAAGTAAAAGAGCATTAGGATGTAAGTTAGGAGACCTTGGAATGGTTCCTATACTTTCTGGGCTTCAACTGTCAAACAAAATTTAGTAACCAAATTTATGTGAAATGAGGTGGTGGATGATCTCCTTATTGCCAAGCCTTCTCATTCTGCCTCATCTCACTCCTGACATCTGAAGTTATAACCAGTTCACTGGGTTGAAACATTAAAATATTCCTGCCAGACCCTAAGTATGGGGTGTGGATTTTGGGTAATGAAACTATTCTGGAAATAGATAATAGTGATGGTTGTACAACTCTGTGAAACTACTAAAAACCACTGAATTGTACACTTGAAGAAGGTGAACATTATGGTATGGGAATCATATTTCATTGAATCTGTTAATTAAAAAATAGTATAGATATAAGGATTAAAGATTTAGGAATCCCAGATGACTTGGACAAGGATTAATTAATAAAATATTTCATATTACAGGTTTCAAATTCTCTCCTGTTTGTTGTGACATGGAGGCTCAAACTGGATCTACACAAGGCAAGTTTTCCCAAGATTTGACCACCTATTATTTTTATCTCATCCCACTGCTGACACCCACCCCACAAAGTGGACTCCTGCCCCTCTGACAAACACCACACTGACCTGGCTAAGCTGTCAGAGATTAATTCCTTGGCAGCTTACTGGTTTGCTTTTCTCTGGTAAACTTCATGTGTGTATATTGGTGATAAAAAGGAGATGAGGGGGTGTTGGGGAGAAAGAAAAGCAAGATTTAAGGTGGGAGAGGGAAGCACAGATTTAGCATGGGGCCAGAAATTCAAATCAGGTTGCTTTGGGTTTGGCCTCATGATTTTCTATGTTATCTACAACTTGTTGCAGGACTCTAGCCATGAATTTATTATAGTTCCAGTACTGTTATAACTTTAAAGTGCTTCCTACCAAATGGCTTTGGTCTTTTCCTTCAGCTGCTTCGGCTTGGCTTTACAATCACACTGTCTATATCCATGTCATTAATTATAAATCATGCCTGCAAATGAAAGAAATGCTGTTCATTCTTTGCTCTAAATGTGTATTTATACTGCCATTCGTCAGTGAGGGGACATTGATGTCCTTTTACCTTTGCCTTCATTGTGCTTATTGATTGAGTTTTGCCCTTTTGCATAGGGATACTGAAAACAATATTTATAAATGACTGATAAAAAATCAACACTTTGGGGAGATCCTCACATCTGACCACAGGGCAGAGTTTCAAATTGCAAAGAGGCTGGGGGAAAGGGATCAGGGGAATATCTATTATCATCAGCTTTACCTAAAGGTACATTACCCCTCCCCCCATGAGAACTGCTCATCTGGTGAGCCACTATACTTTGTTAATGTGTCATCTCTCTTAGATGTGTTAAGGACTTTTAGGAATATTTGGGACTGTTCAGTTTCATTTGGCCTTTAGTATAATCAACCATCTACCTTGATCATTAACTATTTCTACTGAGACAGGGTTGGAAGACTCCGGAGTAAAGGAGATGCATTCTTTCCCTTGCAGGTTTATTTTCCTTATGGTTTATTTTCAGACCTGGATAGGGTAACACAAAATTGGGCTTGGCTGCCAAGGTAAACCTATGATCCGTCTGCAAAAAACTAGTCCTTGACTGCAAGCTTCTGTTGGTCCAATGTGCACCTTCAGGAATGATTTCAATTTAGATAGACAGTAGAGCATAGTTAGTAAAAGTTTGCAATGTGGAGCCAGGCAACCTAGGTTTAAATCCCAGCTGTGTGACCTTGGGAAATTTATATAAAGTTTCTGTGCCTGAATTTCATCATCTGTTACATAACGATAATTGTATCTGCCTCTAGGATTTTGTGATACTTGGATGAATCAATGTATATAAAGGTTTAGAATACTACTTGTAACATATAAGTACAATATGAATGCATATTTTTGATCAGCACTTTATCATTTCCAAACATACTTTTAATGTTTTCAACTCATTTTATCCTCGTGACCACGCTGTGAAATCGATTCTATTATTAGCTACATTATACATAGGAGGAAGAGATAAAATAGCAATTCAGATGCCAGTTACCTAAATGCAGTTGATTGTTTTCCAAATAGCTATTTTTCCCTCCCTTGGATTACATATGAATATAAGACTTGAACTTGAACAACTTTTCTCTGCTCAGTTAGAGCTCTGAAAGTGTTACTCTGACTCCTGCTACTAATTTTCAATAAACAGCATAAAATTTGGAACCTTTTTTATGACCTATAGTAAGATTTCTCCAATTTGGATTTCATAAATTTTCAATCAGTGATAAGCAGACATGACCTGCCTTCAACATTTTCATAGATTCTTGCAGAGAAGCTTGGAGTTGAAATGAGAGTGTAAATGGTTCTTCTGAAAGCATGTTAATTTGAGGAAATAAGTTATTTTCAATGAATTGAACTTGATGTTTGTGTGGAAACGTAGCTATTTGTTTCCCATCGATCTCATCCATTCATGAAAGCAGGCCTATCTATTACATTACTGTTAGTTTGTAGATGCTATATTTGAAAAGAGTGAAACAGCTTGAAAATGTTAGTGTTTATACATTTCACTGCTGAGACTCCATGCCACCCATCCCTATGCCTCAGTACTGTCAGTGACATTTTATTTGTTTCTATCTATCTATATATTCTGATTTTCAGATTATTGATGAGGCAATGGGCACAATATCATGGACCAGTTTAGGATGAGTTAAGCTTCACTCCTGCGAGAGAAAAGTGAAGATAGGGGAAATTGTTAATTTGGGTGAATAGTTCAGCTAAGAAAGATTCTGAGATGGGATTTCAAAGACACTTTCAGTTCTCTCTGTCTAGGAGATTATGATATGGATTTCCTTCTTCCATTCCCAAAATTTCATCTATGAAGGACTTCTTTCTTTCATTTCATTAATTTGTCAAGCCTTTCAAAATACTTCTTTTTCCCATTTTCATAAACTTCTATTATGAATTCCCATAATTGAATTTAAGTCTCTGACATGCTATAACTCATGAAGAATTAAAATAAATAGCCCCTCATTTCAGCACCAAAAGCACAGGGAAGGGAGAGCACCAGGGAGCAGAGGGCATCTGGAGTTCCTGGCTTTCACAAGGGAATCAGAACACTTAGGATCTTTGTTTCCATTCCTTCACATCTGTCTTAAGTAAACATTTTGTTGTCTATTGATAGTTAATAGACAACAGGAAAAGTGCAGATGTACTGAAGCTACCTCCATCCTGAGGCCTGTGAGCAGGAAACTTTGATAGCAGTCATAATGCTTTTCTTTTAAATTTTAACCCCTTTCCCCTCTCATTTCACCTTACTGCCAATGTTACTATTAATTATAGTCTAATACTTGAATTGTGTGTTTTGTGTCCTCATAAGAGTTTTTGATAAATACTAGACAGCAAGCTATGGGAAGGTAGGACTTGATCTATTCACTGTTTTAGCTTTAGTACTTAGTCACTGGATCTGGAGCACAGTGAGCACTAAATAAATGAGAAATGCGCACTACTCTGAGGGGAAACATTAAAGCTAAAAGATAAAATATTTTTGTAGCACTTCTCTAATTTACCAAGGGCAGAAATGGGTCAAACCTCTGGTCATCTAACCCCAATTCTGCCTCTGATAGGTGATCCAATGGATGTTTCTTAGAAGGATTTGGAAGTCCTATCTGAGCAAACACTTCAGTGACTAGGGTATTCTTTAATAATCACATTTGATTATATAGTAGACTGGCGAGAAAAAAAAAAAACCTATATCAGCAACTAAATTTAAATAATCAATTTCCAAGAATGCATTTTTCACATATTGCCTAAATGAAACAGTTGTATTATAAAAAGTGAAAATTAAATTGCTTATTAAAAAGCTAAATGGAGGGAACTATTTAGGAAAAAAGCATTTGCAATCTTTAACTAATAAAGGATAATTTGTAAAGAAATTATTAATAACTATATCTTCTGGATAATGATGTTTCTGAGCAAATAGTATTTATTGATTACCTACCCTTAACCAGGCTCTATATTGGATGGAGATATATATAAATAAAAGATGACCAGACCAGTAACCACCTCAAGGAAATTACAGTCTAGTGGGAGAGATTTATGCCCTATTAGTTAGGATTCTTTATTATTGTTATTACAGGTAACAGAAATCAACTTGAGTTAGCTTAAACAAAATCAGCAACAACAAACTTTTTTAAAGGAAATGAGAAAGCTTCACAGGACCACAAGAGTGTGGCTAGACTATAAGAAGGTACTAAATTAGAAAAATTGCCCAGACTTTGCCTCTTGCTTTTGAATTCATTTCCTTCAGTCCTGTGTCTGCAGGTTGACTTTCTCTAAATCTCCATCCCTAAGATGGGCAGAAAACCTCATAAAGTCCCCCAGTAGATATTTCTTTTATTTAGGAAAGAAGTTGAGATTAAATAGATATTTTTCAGTGCCATTTCTAAATTCTAAAGAGGCAGAATTATTTTTCAATCTTGAGACATCTTGAGTCAGGTGTCTATCACTGGTCTCATCATCTATAACCAAGGTCAGTAATACAAATGTTGCTTTCTGGGAAGCCACCCATTGGTGTTTTGGAGCAGTTCTTAATGCGGGGCAAAGTTCAGTGGGCATTTCCACCCAAAGAAGTCTACGGAGAGAATAAAGAGCTGATGTTAATACAATTCAGTTAGTACCATGATAAAGATATGTGCAGCTCACTATGAGAGCACAAGGAATGTGAAACTATTTATTAAAACAAAAATGGCCATAATAATGCAGTCTAAAGCTATGGTCTCTGTACAGTAAGTGGTAAAGACTAGGGACTGTGGTATAAGACAGATAAGTTTGTGCTCTGGTTCTGCCACTTACCCACTGTGTGTCCTTGGGCAGGTACCTAAAGCTCTGTTTCCTTGTCTATCAAATGCATACATTACTATTTCAGATTTTTTTAAATATATTTTATTGATTTTTTACAGAGCGGAAAGGAGAGAGATAGAGAGTTAGAAACATTGATGAGAGAGAAACATCGATCAGCCGCCTCCTGCATAGCCCCCACTGGGGAAGTGCGCGCAACCCAGGTACATGCCCTTGACCGGAATCGAACCCGGGACCCTCCAGTCCGCAGGCCAACGCTCTATCCACTGAGCCAAACCGGTTTCGGCACTATTTCAGATTTTTTCATGTGTGAGGATTGAATGAGAAAATGGATATGTACTTCCACATTGTGTCTAATATATATTAAATAGTCCATATATGTGGTTGTGGTTGTTATCTATCACTGAGCAAGAATTTATTATATATATGTTATGGGATAGGTGCTAAAAGGTGAAGTCTCTCTTATCAAGGATTAGCCAGACATGCAATGTGTCCCAGGAAACTCTCTAGCCTAGCAGAGTCCGTTCAACTCTCTCCTCATTTCCAACTGTGTAAAATTCCTTGCATTTGTCTTACATTAAATAATACATCATTTTAATAACCATCTATCTTGTTCTGCTAAGTATAGAAGACTATGAGAGGACATTCAATGAAGCACTTCAGACCTGGTTGAGGGTTAATTTGTACTAGTGTATTTCCTATTGCCTTTGGAGTAACCCCTAAGGTAGAGCTGCTGTTTCCACTACTCAG